TGAGCCTCGGTTCCCTTGGCGTGGGCTGCGTTCCGCGGCCTGCCCGGGGCCGGCGGCGGCCCGGGAGCGGCTGGCATGCGGGGCGGTAGGTCACCCTCCCCGGGGGGGGCCGAGCTGCGCCGGCGTGGGACCAGCACCGAGCGGGTGGGAATCGTGCAGTATTTGGGCTCTCTTTTCTGTATTTAATCCTTACGCGATGGTTTTTTGCACGTTTCAAGTTTCTTATTAGTTGCGGCGAGATACGCATCTGTATTTGAATGTGAAACTCACTTAATAGGTTGTATTTTGGCACTTCTCAGAGCTAGACAAGACTATTTAATTTGCTAAGTCGCTTCTGCAGCTACATGTAATTTTCTTCTCCTGCTAAAAGTCCTTTGGAAACGCTGCAAAAATGTAATGAATATGCAAAGCAGCCAGCTCTCGCATCCAAATCCGGTTTGTCTTCAGAGACTTTTCAAAACGCCCAAAGTGATCAAGATATATTATGAAATAATCACTTTTGCCTAAAATACAGGAATGTGATGTTTCGCACTTTCCCCTTGTGCGTATTCCTAATTTAATTGGTGACAGCTCAAATATAATTCACCTGAAATAAAAATCTCTAAAAATCAGTTAGGGTTGCTCCATCGCTCTTACTTCTAGCGCAGCCTTAAAAAGCAGGAAAACTGCTGGCAAAGTCCTTGCCCCGTGCTTACGTCCCACAACTCCCGAGTTTTCCTTCTCCCAATACTTCACCCACATCCACCAGCTGCTTGCTGCAGCCGCGTTATCTTCCTGCCACCTCCGGGAAACTTGCAGCTTTGAACTCGGACCAGGCAGAATGGGAAGAAACGGGTGTTTTCCTGCGGTTAAAGGTGTTGAGCTGGGCTGCTGCCACCGCCGCTTGTCTTGAGGGAGGGAGGGAGCCGGTTGCAGGAACAGGTTGTGATGCCTGCACTGATTGTTTGCAAATATTTAGTAGTGCTGTCTGTGTCTTTGTGGTTTTTGTTGTCCTTTTTCCTAGGAGTTATGTTTGTGGTCAGAGTTAAGGTGACATCCAGCGCTTGGAGAGGAGGGCATGGCGTATGGGGTGATAGGCTGTGGATGTGAACGAGGTAATGAGAATGCATGGTTGTGGCTTACAAAGGCCGAGTGAAAATCTGACTTGTCATTTCCTCGTTCTTCCGTGGCTGTAACAGTATGCAACCTTGCATGTATTTTAAACAGCTTTTTCTGTTATGGGGAATTTCCTAGCTTCTTTCTTTGTTCTGTATGTGAAAAATGTAAAAGACAGCTGCTCTTCCCTTTGTGTTCCCACACTGCTTACTGGTATGGACGACGAGCAAAGAAGGGGGAGAAGGAGCAGCTCAACTGCCATCGCTGCGTTCATTTATTCCTGTAGACCTTCCCATGCCAGCTTTGCGTTCCCGCCTTTTGCCGTAAGAGGGTTTGCAGTTGGCCATACCTTAGAAGATCTACTTGCTTGCTCCTAAGGCAGCAGATCGTTCTGGTTAGCTTCTTAGGGTTTGCCAGAGGACGTTACCAGGCTGTTACCCTGAACCAGGTTTGTTTGGGATCACAGATTAGAAAGCCTAAGACTTATCGAGCAGGCTGTGGAAGAGGGGGAACGCGCACGGTGCCCCAGGGTCCTGCCCGAGGTGCTCTCCCTGGTGAGGAGCGCACACAAGTCTCCTGGCCGTGAGCTCGCCCTGCGTCTTCTCCTTGCGTAATCTCTTCTCGAGCTCGCCTTTTGCCCCAAAAGCACCGGCCCTGCTGCGCTAAGGGAGGAGAACAACAGTGGCGGAAAGCAGTACTTTACGTCTCCTAGATGCAATTTAAAGGTCACCTGAAAGATGCGTGGCTCTGAGACTTGAGTGGGTGCGCTACGGCTTTGCCGTAGCCGGAGAGGTAAGCAGAGCCAGGCGGCAACAGCAGCGCCATGGGTCCTTTGGGTTAACGGTCGCTTCTGATTCCAGCGGCGCGGCGCTGCTTTCCCAGCAAACCGTGTTCGTTGCTTGTCCTCCTCCTGAGCCTCGTCTTGCTCCTCCAGGTTGACTAGCTTACCTGCTTCCCTGGCTTTGTAGGCTGTGAGCTGAGCCGAACCAGTGGAGCGGACCGGTAATGTCGGGAAACGCAGCGTGGCTGGCAGTGTGGTGAAGCTGTCTCAGAAAGGGGAGGGAGGCTTCCCCTTATAAAAGCTTAGAAATACTTGGGATGTTGTTGAGGTGAGTGCAGAAGGAACTCAGTTTAATGAGAGGAGAAAAGAGGTCAAAAGGAAGAGTGTTTGAAAAATGTCTTCTCTGCAGAAATTGGTAGCAGTCTTAAATGGAAAATTTGCGTGGCCCTCTCAGGAGTTACTGTACTAAATTTGGAAAACAGAATCGGTCTTTAAAGTACAAAACAAAGGGACTTCAGTCTTGCTTTAAATGCAAATCTCAACGCAGTCTGAACTGTGGACTCGCTACTGACGCCTCCATAGTACATATTAATCCAGTTTTACCTGTCATGAGGAGATTTGTTGATTAGAAGCCTCTAGGTCAGGGCTGCTCGTGGACTGTTGCTGCTCTTCCAGCCTGTGGGCTGGAAAAATGAGCTCCATGCCTTGCCTGGAGCTCTTGGGCTGTGTGTAATTTCACTGCCACCGTCCTCCCAGGATGCAGTTTAGCTCTCTGCACAAAGTCCATTTATGTAGATTTATGTAGATTTTGTGCGAAGACGGATGACTTTCAGAGCAAATGGGTATTCTTGTAACAGTTACATAACTTAATTTGTGGTATTGATGGTAGAAAGTCAACATCATTTGAAATGGGAGGGTAGGAACAGTTTAGTGAAATGTCACTAAACCATAAGCTGTTAGTTTTGTTTGTCTTGTCAAACTTTGTATGGAATGGGAGGATTTTTCTAGGAACTTCTGTGAAGTAATGACAATTTTTAAAATACTGAATTATGTACCGTTTAAAGGATGAGGTGATTTTCCTCATTTTCCTTGTCGCCACTCACATCTTTGAATGTAGACAGTACTTAATTGTTTTTCTGCAATTACCTATGATTTTTGAGTGCTAAACTGTATTTCTAAAACACGTAGCTCTTAAATGTTTCCAGTTCCACCCTGAGTTGCAAAGTGTGTAGTTTATTAGCTCGTGAGCTCACCAGCAGCTCCTTGGGGCGGCTGCTCAGATCTAGATGGCTATTGCTGTCCATTCTGTTTTACAAACACCAGCGTACAAAGAATGATACGTGCAGCTGGTGGTTTTGGTTTTTTGTATTTTTTGCTTTTATCCAGGGCTTTTCTTCCCGAAGAGATCGTTTGTAGGTATCCTGTTCCTGCCACATACATTTTCGTAAAATTTCTGTTGGCCTCCTAGTTTTATTTTTCTCTAGTAGAGTATAATCAAAGGTTTGTAGCAAAAGCCTGATCTTTCAGATGCCTCCCGAATAGAAGTTGAGTTCCGTTTGTTACATCTGCACATTTATTTTGAGTTGCCGAAGGAAAAAAGAGCATATTGTAAAAAAAAAAAAAAAAAAAGAAAAAAAAATATGCATAGTAAAAATAATTTCTGCCTTAGTTTTACTTTTGGTTACCAGTCTCCCAATGCCCCAAAGCATACATAAATTCTTGCATCGGAGTTTTGGGGGGAGGGGAGGTTGCACGTTATTAACGCAGTTTCCCCCCCAGTGTGTGCAAATCGTTCTGTAAGTGCTGATTTTTAGGTTACTACTGTGTGTTTTTTGAAGTGCAATGTGATAGTAGAGCCAGAGTAATGTTAGCAGACCAGCTCCATGTTTTAGTTCTGTTACTTTCCCAACCAACTATAAATTACATGCTTTAGACCTTATTGACTGGGGGTTTAGCTTAATACAGTAATACTGGAAATTACCCGCTTGTAGTTGTGAAAGCCATCGTAGAGTGAAGAGGGGTGTGTGTGTGAGATCTTAGAATTCTCTGAAGAGTTCATTATTTGCGGGATAACTGTGGATAACGGGTTTTACGAAGTTGAAACTTGTGCAGATGTGTTTTCTGCAGCCGTAAGGGTAGAATACTGCTGCAATTTGTCTGTTGGGAGCCCTTAGAGCACAGTGGCTGTATCGCTGAATGGTATTTCATGTCATAAGTATCAATGACATGCAGGCCTGTTAGCAAATGGAACGGGCAGGTGAATTCAAAATAACGTTTTTAAATTATATGTGTTGGAATCCATCAGTTTTTTTACTTTGTCTGCGGATGTTGCTGCCATAATTAAGATCAGCAGAGGCATTAGATCCTTTTTATGTGAAATGGGGAAACCTGTAGAAGTACTTGGTTCTGAAACACCCTTTTGCTGATCCAGTTTCATTAATCCTCTGGGGTTCTGTGAAGCACTTTTCTTCTTTGCTTTCCTTCTGCGGTCTTCCGTACACTGCTATGGGGGGGAAATGATTTGAGAGTTAAGGAGAATCGAAACTAATGAGCTTTTTTTCTTTGGGCGATCAAGTATTCAGTAATTCTTCGGAGTGTTTTGTGATCATTTTGATCTGAAGATACAAAAGAGAGTCAAGGAGAAGCAGTGAGCAATATTGAATGACGTTCTTGGGAACAAACATGAAGTGGGAATGCTGAAAACAAGCTGGCTTCGTGTTTGAATCATCTTTTTTGTAGGTGCATCGCAACTATCTGTTGATTTGTTTTTTCACAAACGTTTCCATTAAGTTAAGTAGTCAAAAAATAGAGCTATCGCCCCTTTTTTCATTTCCATATGTGTTCTTATAATGAGAGAAAGAAATCCTGCCCTCCGAGTTGACGGCCTCACGGAAGGATGGGCGGTGGGGGGAATGCATCTGGACGTCGGCGTTCTGGTGCTCATCTTCTCCCTGTTTTTACTGTTTGCAGGTTCTGTCGTCCGTGATGGCGTCAGCTCTACCCAGAACCCTTGGGGAATTGCAGCTGTATCGAATACTACAAAAAGCAAATCTCTTATTCTACTTCGATGCCTTCATTCAGCAGGGTGGAGATGATGTCCAGCAGCTCTGTGAAGCAGGTGAAGAGGAGTTTTTGGAGATAATGGCTCTGGTAGGCATGGCTAGCAAGCCGCTTCATGTCCGAAGGCTGCAGAAGGCTTTGAGGGACTGGGTCACAAACCCTGGTCTTTTTAACCAGCCTCTCACCTCCTTACCGGTCAGCAGCATTCCAATATATAAGCTGCCGGAAGGGTCTCCTGCATGGCTGGGAATATCCTGCAGCAGTTACGAAAGGAACAGCAGCACCAGAGAGCCTCACTTGAAGATTCCGAAATGTGCTGCCACAACGTGCGTGCAAAGCGTGGGCGCAAGCAAATCCGATGTGGTGGGGAACTTATCGCTGCAGAGCGGCAGTGAACCGAGACTCTGGCAAGGACACCACACCACAGAGAGCGAACATAGTCTTTCCCCAGCTGACCTTGGCTCTCCAGCTTCACCAAAGGAAAACAGTGAGACCCTGGATGCCGCCGCCGCTCTGTCAGTTGCTGAATGCGTAGAACGTATGGTTCCCTCCCTGCCCAAAAGTGACTCGAATGAAGTCAAGGAGTTACTGAAAACAAATAAGAAACTGGCAAAGATGATTGGTCACATCTTTGAGATGAGTGACGAGGACCCTCACAAGGAGGAGGAGATCAGGAAGTACAGTGCAATATACGGCAGATTTGACTCGAAAAGAAAGGATGGCAAGCACCTCACCCTCCACGAGGTAAAACACCTTGAGCGACAGTGGGCTTCCTCCCCTATTCCTACACCTTTTATGAGACGCTGTTTACAGGGTACACTTTTTGTATGGGCACTTCTCACCGAGTGACGAGAGTTGTGTGTCATACAGGAGCCGTAGGCAGTCCTGCCCTGGGATAGAAGTCTTGGGTACAGTAGAAGTACCCTTTCTTGGGTGGGTGTGTGCATGCGTGCACTGATGATGTCAGCTTGGTGTCATCAGACTGCTCGGTCACTGGTGCAGCCTGTCAGACAGAGGTTTTAAACAGTTTGGCACTGAAATAGCAAGGCAGCATTGCACTGAGCGTGGCCCTTGGGTTTCTAGGCATTTGGCACATTTTTAAAGCGGTCCTGTCTTGATATTCCCTTGCAGCTTTGAGAGTTGAATGGTGGTTTGGAAGATGAGTAACTAAAGTTACTTGTGTCTGGTAACAGGATCACCTGGCTTGGTTACTACCCTCTGCTGTCTTCCCTCACCTCGAGACCCTGCTCTGTAGCTTGTGCCTTTGAAGTAAAAAGGATTCTGCCGATGAGGTCTCCAAAGCCGGTGGGGTGGGATTTTTTTTGTGTTTGAGTTAGGATGAAGCTTAATGATGCAACCTGTGGGCGTCTTCGGGCACAGTGGTCTTAGGCCGGACAAGTGAAGTGCAGACTATGTGAGGAGGAAGGGAAAGGACCGTCTCCAGTATTGATGGGTGGCTGTAATTTGAAGGTTTGTCCTTTAATACCTGCACAGCATCTGTTCCCTCTCATCCTGAAAAGTCCATGCGGGCCTCCTTTGCTTCTCTTCTGGCGTTCTTGAGGCTTTCACTGCATATGTTGTAACGCAATAGGTGTGTCTGTGTGGGGAATAAGTTCCCTAGTGCCAAAGTACAGTACAAGAGGAGAACAAACATTAATTCAAAGCAGTGCCAAAACGCTGTTGATATGAATGCTGCATCAGCATTTTCACAGTTAACAGTGATTGCAAAATTTCAGTTGGATTTAAAATTTGGCATGGAAGGCTTAGCTCCCAAAAGGAAAGGCAATGTTTATGTTACAGGAGTGCCAAAAACACTGTACTGGCTTTAGCCTTTTTTCGCTTCAAGAAGAAGTTTTGTAGGTGTGTGATCCATAGTGTAAGACTGGGTTCTCTTTATGCTTCTGAGTAGAAGGGCAGAAGGAAACAAGGCGTATTTCTTTACATTTTTGTTTATGTATTTACATTTATAAGGCAACTGCACATCATCAGCAGTGACTTCACTGGGGCTTTTACTGCAGACTGGGGAGACGCTTCCAAGGGAACTTGTCAGTAGTCAGCCGCATTTCTACCACACAGTTCTAGTTGTGCAGTTTTCACTTACGTGCTTTGTGGCTTCATGTTGAACACTTAAAATCTATGAATTCATCCAGTGTGCAAGAACAGATCTTGTCTTACTCCCCTGACCCTGCGGAAGTCTCTCCCGTAACAGAGCAAGTTGTGTATGAGATGGAGGCAGGATTTGAAAGGATTAATTGTGTAGATTCCCTGTGTACATTGCTGCAGAGTCAGGATTCAGAGAAAGGGGGTTCTCCCCACCTGAGGATAAAGGCAGTCAAGGTGTACAACGTGTGCAGCTGTGTGCTTCTGCAGTCTCTCTCTGGGGTAGCGGCTGCAGAAAATACTCTGAAATCTGGGCAGACTTCTCGTAGGATAATTTCCTGGCATCCAGCAGTGTAATGGGAGGTGGGCGCCAGGGGCAGCTTTTGTGTGAGGCGTGTGGTAGGCTCAGGAGTGGCTGTACGAAGCTGGAGGAGTGAATAGTGGGGTGGTAGTTTGAAGGAGCAGAGTAGCAAAGAACGGGAAGAAAGCACGACTGCTCTGCCTTGTTAATTTTTTTTAGTACTGCACTCCAGATCTTTACTACATCATTGTAAAACCATGTTTAAAAATGGAATGAGAGCATGGTTTGGCTTTAGGAAATATTTCTATCGCTATTATGATTAAGGGCACAAGATCAAAGGAGTATGTGGTTGACTTATGCCTCACTTACGCATGTGGGGCCTCGCTGAACTTGATGGGAACTGCACACATGCAAGCAAGAATTTGCTCATAATTGGTTTACTGTTTGCTTAAAGAGGCCAGATTTCTTAAAGTTTTGTCCTGAACAGTTTTCTCTCCATTTCCATTTTAAAGCAGAAAATATACAAATAGTAGCAATGAGACCTTTTTTTTTTTTTTTGTTTAAAATCTGTTAAACCAGAGTTTGCCTTTCGTAAATTCAACTTCAATGGATTTTTGTTTTTGATGGCTTAAACAATTTGCTGCTCAGAAGGAAGGACCTTAAACAACCAGGGAGGTAAGTTTCTGCTTGTCCAGAGACAGTGTTTCTGCACGTGTTAATACATTCCAAGGCTGTCATTCTGCCTCGCAGTTCAAGGTTTCTTCTTGCAGCTGGCAATGAACAGCTGAATAAACTTCACTATGAATTTAAAAAGCTTAAGCAGTGGTTAGCTGCTTAATGTAAAGATCAGGGTGTATCTGGCTCCTCGAGTGGAGTGGAGTTGCGTGCAAATTAAACTCAAACTTGATGGAATTATTAGTGGCAAATTAGTGAGAATATTCTCTGTTGCAGTATGACCGCTGGAGTGTCTCAGAGGGCTTGAGCAGCCATTAGAGGCCAGTGATAGCTGCAGACACTGAGCTGGTTTGGAAGGGTGTGCTGTTGGTAGGATTATCTGCGTAAGGCACTGATCTAGCATAAAATCTGATGCAGAATCTTTCAGAGACGTTCCAAAACTAAGAAACATGCTGTCCTTAATCCATCCCACTGTCTCGGTATTACACAGCTTTTCAAGCATGGGGAGTGCTTTATGTTTAAAGTTGGACTGGAGGAGGGATGAGTAGGAGGCATACCCTTGGACTCGGTGACCTGTGTGTGTTTGAGTCAGATTTGTAATTTGCGTGTTAGTATTTCAGTGCTTGTCTAGGTACCTATAAAACAACAACAACAAAAAAATCCTGTTTAATAGTGTGAGAAACAGGAATAAGAAGTGCAAGTAATAAATTTTATCTAGCTTGGTCTCTTCCTTTTCTTTTGCTGACTCACTAAAACAGTAGGGCTTGGTATTTAATTATGTGTTTTTTAGTGGGGGAATCTGTGAACCCCATCAGATGGGAATATACCCATCCCTCTCCACAGAGCCTGTATGGTTATGTGCTGCTCCATACCATTAAGGCTTCCAGCAAACAGAATCTTTATTTTTAGGCACGCAACACTTTCTGTCTGCAGTATTATGCCTCCTGAAAAGCCAGGAAGCCATGATGCACTTCAATTCAGTAAGTCTGGATGTGACCTGAAAGAAGAAACCAGGAAAAACAAACAAACAAACATTTGGCTTTTCTCATATATTAGGATAAACAGCATTTGCCTATGACTACCCAAAGCGTTTTCAGTCATTTCAGCTCTTTGCAACCTTTCAACGCTTTATTGAGGGATAAAAAAACCATCTCAAATTATTTTGTAGGCATTAGCCATATTATTCATCCTCAGCAAAGTAATAGGTATCACCGTTACAGAAATTAGTGGCTGCTTCGGATGGTAATTCTTTTCATCAGTGCTGTATTAATCTTTTATTTTTGTATTTCCTTTTCAGTCATTTCAGCTCTTTGCAACCTTTCAACGCTTTATTGAGGGATAAAAAAACCATCTCAAATTATTTTGTAGGCATTAGCCATATTATTCATCCTCAGCAAAGTAATAGGTATCACCGTTACAGAAATTAGTGGCTGCTTCGGATGGTAATTCTTTTCATCAGTGCTGTATTAATCTTTTATTTTTGTATTTCCACACCCCCCCACACTCCCCACCCCCACCCCCCGTTTTTTGTGAAAAGACAGACACTGTAGAACATCTGTTCCTGTCTAAGGGATAATAGTTTGTTATTTTAGTCCATTGTGTTGTAGGAACATAGTAACCTAGAGATGTTTCACAGCTTAAACCTAAACTTCCCACCCTTGTACATCTGATCTCTGTGAGATTTTTTTTTTTTGTCTGTACAGAGACTAAAGGATCAGGCAACATATCTAGTTCGCCTGTTAAAGACATGTTTGCACTCTGGTTAGCATTCAGGTGTCGCAAGAAATGCCCTACTTGGACCGGAGGCTTTAATGCTAAACACAGGAAAAAATGTTTATGAAATATTAGGAAGAGCAGTTCTGTGTGAGGTTTTACCAGAAATACTGCATGGGTACAGGCCGCTGAGAGATTCCCAGCTCTGCTGATACATGTTTTTGTTTTTTCAACCTCTCTGGAGAGCAAGTGTTGCATTAGGGAAAATACGTTTTTTCTAATTTGGATGACATCAAGCACTGCGACGAAGGATGGCACGGTTGTGTGTTGCTCATGTCTTGTGACAGCTTCCATCCTTCAGGGATGGAGCGCGCGGTGTTTCGGGTGAGTTGCTGGCCGCTGCGATTTAATTCGCCAGTAATGTTCTTCAGCGTGGTAGACAGCGGGGTGACGGAGCGAGTTTCTTTGCCTTCTCCCAAGAGACGCCATTTAACTGCAGACCCGCTGGTCTGGCCTCAGCTTCACCTTCTGTCCGCTTCCGTGAAAAGCGCTTCTTGTACGAGCGGTGCTTTTGGTGTCTGAGGTCAGACGCGTGCGGTCCTGCCCGTCCCCAGCCACAGAACCCTGCGCGCCGAGCCGCGGCTGCGTTTCGCACTGCCAGATCAAGGGCTGGGGACGGCACATCTGAGTCCGTCGTGAATATGCTGACGGTGCTGTGGAAAACCTAGCGGCTTTGTAATATTCACTAGCCTGAGACAGATACAGAACATGCTGTTGACGGTAGCAGCATAGCAGCTGTGCTCGTTTGCGAGAAGCCAGGCTCATTCAAAGCAGCTTCATTTCTAGAAATAAAAGAGAACAAGAGTTATGGACGCTCTGGGAAAAAAACACCTGTAGTATTCGGTTGGCCTCTTGCTCTTATGCCTCATTGCGAGTGCTGGCTGTTCTTCAGCTGAGGAAGAAGTGAAAATGTCACTTCAGCCCCTGCTTGCTGTGGAAGGAGCAGGGAATCTCCTCTCCAGCATCTCAGTTTCAGCGCGTCTCGTTCTGTTGATAATTTTGCTGTTCGTCCACGCTGTTGACCGTAGGCTTTTCAGACAGCAGTATTGTTAAGCTGGTACAGTATCCCCACTGCCTCTGCTGAAGAGCATTGTGAAACCATTTTGAGCCTTAACTTAAGGCTCCCCCCCCCTTCTTTATGAAACTATTGCCAGCAGCAGAGGCACTAGAAATGTGTCCCGGCAGGCTCAGGAAAACATCCTTGAAACAAGTTACATTTGATTCATGTCTGAAGATAGTCTTCACAAACACGAGGGTGAGAAACATAGCTAAAAAAAGTTTAATCGTTTCTTAAACCATCACCTTCTACAGAATTTATGCTGTATTCACCAGGGAAAGCCATCTGTACCCACACTGTCAGGTTTTTTTTTTTTTCCCCCCCCAAGTCCTGGGCATATTGCTTTTATAAAAATAGTATTCTCTGTAAACCAGGCTTTGGGAGCCAAACACTGTGAACGTTCAGAGCTACTGTTTTATACTGAGATTTAATTAATGCTGGGATGAGGCACAAGCAGTGCACGTTGACAGAGTCTTACAATAACGTTTTACTTTAAAGGACATTAAATGCTACATTTATATCTTTTTCTCTTCCCAGAGGCTTACCTGGCTTAGTAGAGGTATAAATAAACTGAAGAAACCCTCCAGGGTTTAGTATACAATTATAGGTAATTTTACTTGCAATTGAAATTTTTTATTATTTCAGAAGAACAGGTACTTTTACAAGCACAATGGGTGAAAGTATGCAAAATCACGAATCCCTGTTTTTGTGTTTAATTTCCAGCTAACAGTTAATGAAGCAGCCGCTCAGCTGTGTGTAAAAGATAACGCGTTGTTGACCAGGAGAGATGAACTCTTCGCACTAGCTCGGCAAATCTCTCGAGAAGTTACATACAAGTATACTTACAGGACCACCAAGTAAGGTTTTAATTAACTCAAAGGACCTTTACTTTCAGGGAACTAATCAGTCTGATAGCATTTCTTTTGAAGCACTAGAGACACTTTCTTCTTGCTCTCCAGCTAGCAAAGTGCTCTTCTGAGGAGGGTAGGAAAATGCTGTTGAAGTCGTGAAGCTTTCAAACTGCTAAGATTTAGCTGTCTTGAATTACCTTTTTATTTGCTCTCTAGTTTTCCAGATTTTGCGATGATAGTGCATGTTGAGAGGCATCTGAGAGGCTGGCATTTCAAGTATTTGAGGTATTTGTGTATTTCAAGGTTAATGTAAATAGGCAGAGTAGCCAAAGCTGTTTAATGTATCAGTTATTTTTTTTCCATATACAGATTTGGCTTGTTAGTTTCCAGGGAATGAAAAAGATAAGCTCATAGGGAGTGGCTTACAAACTTGCTTTAAAGGAACTGAAGCTGAGCCCTGATTTCAGTTGTTACTGTTCTGTTAAATGAACTGCTGTTATGAAACAGTAACAAAGGCTTAACAGCTTTTAATACAAGTAAAACTTTAGAATTAATAAATATGATTGAAAGTCTTGATACTTCCTATACGTTATTTTTAAATGTTAACTCCCTCATGTGCAATGCAATATCCTTTCAAAATACATTTTCCTACACTTCTAGGAGTTTTTTATGGTTTGCCTTTGCTCCCCTTTCTTCCATAGTGATTAATGTAAATATACATCCATTCTGGGTAGACAGTGCCAAAGGCATTTCTGTAATTCTCTGTGCTCAGGTAGCTTTCCTTTCTGTTCAGAAGAAGAGTCCATGAGTCTCTTGATACTTTAGAAAGCAACACAAGGCGCTTGTGTTCTTCTATACTTGAGTGACATTTACTGCCATGTTCAAGTGAATTGGAGGCTTTTTCTGTGCATGTCACTTGTTCTTGCCTGATTTTTTTTTTTTTTTCCTTGACTCAGTATTTCATTATTATTTCTGATGGTCAGGGTTAGTGTGCCGTTTACTGATAGTGTATGTGTCTTCTCTTGTAGATCTAAATGTGGAGAAAGGGATGAGCTGTCACCAAAGAGAATCAAGATAGAGGTACAGTATTGTGACTCCTTTATTTTGACCTATGCATGCTAAAATTCAATTTTGTTTTGAAGGGATCTGTCTTAAGGAAATTTGTCAGAAAAACATTTGATGATGACAGTTGATGGGGGGGGGCGGGGGAGAACATCACCACTGTCTCTGCAAATGTAAATGCTTGATGGAGAAACCTGTAGGAACAGGGGTAAAGAGTAGTATTTGCTTAAAGGTAAAGTTACTCCCAGTGTTTTGCACTCTGAGTGAGTAGCAGGGGGAGGAATGGGACTGACTGGCTTCCTGTGGTGGAATAAGCTCAAGCACTGTAGGAAATGTCTTCCCATAAGGCCTCCTGCTTTTAAGTCAGTGTGAGGTGCTTAATTCAATTGAGTCAGCTTTTGATCCTCTCCAGAATGCAGAGTTCTGGATAAGGATTGATGGCGGAATACTAGCCATCTCTGACTATGCTATAATTTATGAAACTGATCATATTGAAAAGTCAAAAGCTAACTAAAAGCTGTATATGTCAACACAAATGGTTGTGCCTGCAGATATTAATTTACAGTTTTTTGTAATTAGTTTTGTGTAAAAAGCACATGGATACATGACTAATGTGTACACCTGCACCAGATGTTGCTTAGGGAGGTGCTGGGACTTCCTTGTTAGGAGTACAGAAGCAATATATATGTAGTTTACCTTTTTCTTCAGTTACCACTGCTGGAAAGTAAATTTGAGGCCTTTGAAAAAGTCCCTTTTAATAAACATAATAATAAAAAGAAAATTTTAAGTATGTATACCTATATACCTCATAAGAATAGCAGACCTTCCTTTTTAATTTATTTTTTTAAACAAATTACTGTTTCACTGTTACATGGGTATCTAATTCATCCTTAGTGTTGTGGGGTTTTTTTATTGTACCGCCTACTCCAAAAGGTGTAGGTTAAATGTGCATTGGAATGTAGGCTAGGCCTGAGCTAGATTTGTATGTGGCACAGACAGGAGATATATTCTTTAACTGTAGAGGAAAGTTGCAGCGTATTCTGGAATGCATTTCTCTCACGTAACTCATTCTGTGATAAATGATGCACCGAATGTAAGGCTTTAGTTTTTTTCAATAGAGCGATGCTTTGTTACCTGTACAAAGGCTTTTCCTGTGAGGCAAACCCCAGTGAGAGCAGTTCATTTTGAAAAGGCAGTTATGAAGAGGTATAGAGGGGTTCATCTTATTTATTTATTAAGTTCCATCAGTCTGTGTACAGTTGTAGTTTGAGTTTATATAATACAAAATATACATGTGCATTGAGGATTTACTGGTAGCTTTGATAAGAAGTCAGTAATGTCATTTACAGGTGTCACGATTTGCTTTGACCTATGCTTGTTCTTCATCCACAAAAAAGAGCGGGGAAAAGCTGCATTAAATTATTTTATCCACCTTCACCATTATCTGCCTTGACGAACACGTTGTAGGATGGTTGCTTGAGTCTCCCCTCTTTTGTCCAATCTAGTCCTAATTTATAAGAGCTGGCAGGGAGCTGCCGCTCCTCTGCTTGAAATAGTGTTTCACTGACTACTAGATCACAGCATTAGGAAGTTTTTCCTTCATTCAGTAATGACTGATGATGAGCAAGTATCTAAAATGACACATGGCAAGGGAGGTGCTTTTTTCTACAGGATCTTCATTGAAAGAAAAAGTACAATTAAAATCCTGAAAAATACAGGCTGAAACTTTAGGTTTTTTGGAGAGCAGGAAATTTGGACAGCCTTAGGGGACATGCATTCTCTTATTTTCTGCATGGTGAAATCTTAAGAGTCTGGAAGGCCTGCTTTCTCTAGACACTTTTTGGTTCAGTAGTTCTAAGAAAGGATGTTTACTGGGTTTTCTTTTTATCTATAATTACCAGTCATATTTAAAATGCTTGTGAAAATTTCATATCCTAACTGTACAAATGACTATTTCAGAAATGGGACTTTTTTAAAAAATAAGCAATTGAAAATTAAACTAAATTAAATAATCTTTATTTTGATAGCATAGCATTATTAATTATGAAATGACCAGTGTGGTTATCAGCATAAATGTCTTTTTCCTTACAAGTTTGGGAGTCTTCTAAGGAGTAAACCATTACTTCAGTGCATTATAATTCTGAGGTACACTGTAAATCATGGACTTTTTTTCAAAAAAATTTAAAAAAATGCAGTATTACACAGTAGATCACTTTTACATGTGGTGGTTTGGGTTCTTGGGACTTGCATTTTGCAAAATAAAAAAAAAGTCCTTTTTTTAGTTACATGTTTGGGGATTTGGGGGGGGGTGTTTGTTTTTAGAAAGGTGGAGGTAAAATGAAAATGGTAGCAAATGCTGCAGATTTTTCCTTCTGTTCTGGGTAAGAATTCCTTATCGTGTTTTTAAAGTTGTAATGCTTCATTGTGGCTCTATTAGCTTACTGTTGTGCTAGTATCATGCAGAGGATCTGAACATGGGTGATTTTGTTGTTGTTGTTATAACTAGCTCTGTGGTTTTGTTGGGTGTTTTGGGTTTTGTTTTTTTTTTTGTAAAGGTCATTTTGCCTTTCTGTTTTAAGGCTGAACTCTGTATTTTGACTCACCATTCCTTTACCCATTAGTCATTAATGTCTCCGCAAAGCGTGGTCTGAAATACTAGTGCTTGAATTTGGAAAGACTTCACACCCTGTTTGCAGAGTGTAAAAGATTACTTAAAAAAAAAAAAAAAGATGAGTTAATTTCCTGAAATATAATAACACTTAAAAAAACCTCCAGAGAGACTCCGAAGGTCATCTTTGAGCAGAGCTAGCTGAGCTGTTTGTGCAAGCTGCAACATTGCCGGGTTACAGCCACCATTGTAAATCTATCCTCTTCATGAATATGAAACTCACACAAGCATTACAAAGAAACAATATGCCATGAATTACATCAAATTACCTGTAAAAGCCTTTCTCTTCCCCTGCGAGCTCTCCCCCTCTTATTCGTAGAGTGGGTGGGCGAGCTGTGGGAGTGAAGTGTAGAGAGCAGAAGGGAGAAAATTCCAGGCAAATGACAGACTAAAGGTGTGGAGGGAGTGAAAAAGGGAATGGAGTGAATTGGGATTTGGAAGCAGATTATAAAAAAGGGGTTGTAGTTCCTAAACCTGCTCTGGAGAAAGAGCAGGACAGGCGAATAGGGATGGAAGTGGCGCATCCTCCTGCAGAGCAAGGACCTCTCCTGCATAGGTGTTGTGGGGTGGAGACACCCCTTACTTTTGTCATCTTCCGTGACTCAGTACCAGCACCGCTCAAAGCGATGAGCTGTTGTGGCACCGGCTTAGAAAGCAAAACAAGTCACAGGTATATCATGCAGAAGTCATGGAGGGAGAGGCTGCTCATCGCTGCTGCTGCTTTATGTTGGCGTTGACGAGGTTCCCCTTCAGAGTCAGCGCAAACAGCCAAGAGAGCAAAGAAAGAGTTTAAAAAATATTCTTGCTGTCTGTGGTATAAAGGAATTGTTCCGTGTGTCAGCGTCTCCATTCAGCTGAACGAGAGGAGTGGGGAGAGCTTGCAAAAGGTACTTTCGCAGGGCTCGGTGGGAGTCAGGGGGCACAGGTAGGAAGGCCTGAGCGGAGGCTCTGAGGAAGCATCTTCCCTTGGTGCTGGTACGGGTGGAGGGAGAGGAGAGAAAAGGCTCACCTCCACCATTGCTGAGAAGGTTGAAAAGAAAACCAGTCGAAGTGTGGGATTTGTGTTTTTCACAAAAACAGCAAAAGCAGTAGAAGCTACTGTTTGCATAGGAAAAATGTCATTAGAGGGAGCGAAAAAGCACATGTGGGACTGAGAACATCTGCTGCACGAAGCCGCTTGAAAAACAACCGAGCAGCAGCATGGCAAAACAAAAATGCTGCACGGCATGCAGCAGGCCCTCCTGACCGCGGGGGGAAGAGGAGCCATCAAGCAGCCGCAGGGTGGTGCAGAGCAGGTCCTCGCCTGGCCCGGCCTGCTCCTCCTCAGCCCTTACTGGCGAGGAGAGCAGCCAGTGGCGGGGACGGGCTCCAGGAGGGTGATCCAGGACTGCATCGTCATCCAAGAGTTATCTGCGTGACTGATGGGTGACAGTCACGGCAACGGGCAGCCGGCCCTGCTTTTAGGAAGCAGCCTTTGGCTTTGTATTGGCAAGTGGTCACAGATACATTATAAAGAGCCGTGTTACCCGTTTTGTTGCAAAAATAGGATCCTGAGTGATAGGTTTTTGTGTGTTGAGTTTCTCATCTTCCTACACATAATCGTTCTCCTCTCCCAAACAAATTCAGGTCTAACTATGAAAATGGTCAGTGCTCATGGAAATGTGCTGCAAAGCCTTTGTTTCTAGAGGATGAGGTTTTGTGGCAATTTACCTAGTTATGAAATTTTGCATACCTATTATGTTTATATTTTTCCCTGAGGGAGTATGTTGGGTGGATAAAAGCAATATGCAGTGTTCAGACAGATTTCTTTTTTTTCCTGAGCATAAAGGACTGCTTTATTGGCATTACGTTGCACTGAGGGTCTGGCCACCTGACGTGGGTCTGACCACCACTCTGCAGGTCAGCGGACAGCCTGCCAACAGCATGGACCTTGTAGTCCTTTCCCTGTGTTTTTTCTGGAAGATTGCTTTTCTTGTTCTTGGGCTGTAACCCATTTGTCCAGCTATTGTAAAAAAATTTTTTGTTTACATGCATGTGCCTCTAGAATCCACAAAGAAAATACACCTAATTTGGCATACTTCTGATACCTGGGTCTACAGATCCTCAGTGACAGATGTCACTGTTGTCAGGTTTGGGTCTGTCATAAGATCTTTAGCTTCCTCTCACATTTTAAGTCACCTATACTGTGCTTTTGTAAATATTTCTGGATGTTCCTCTATGTTACATGAGCTTTCCTTTTATAATGCCGAGCAGGATAAATTTCTCATCTTGAACCTTTGCTTCGATGATTAATTTATTTTAATGGAGTCTGGCAGGCGTTCACAGGAACTTTATTTGCTTTATTGGTACATATGCAAGCTGCAAAAAAGATTTGCATGTCATAAGCATTTGAGACTGAAAGAATCATTGAATCATGATTTACCATAATATATCAAGTCTTTGCTACCTACTTTTAAAATGATGATATTTCATTTTGTGAGACTAGTATAGGTTCTGTGTGAAATACATTGAATTTCAGGAGACTTTCCTCAGTTTCTCAAGGTTAATGTATCCTGCTGCTGTGCCTTATTCTTGACTACATATGAACTTGATTTCTTAAGAATCTCCAAAGCTGCTGTATGTAATGAGTGACAGAAACCATAGGCCTAAATCTGCCTGGCAAGGCTGAATGTAAACTAGTTTAATGTCAGTGACAACAGTAGTCTGGATTCACCTGAAACTGTGAGAGATGAGATATGATTGTATGTGTATTCCACTTTAGATATATAGCAGTTGTTGTAGAGGGGCATGCCGTTGTACGTTACGTAGCAGTTGTTGCAGAGGAGCTGTGTGTGTTTTATGCACAAACTTAAATGAAGGGGATAGCACAAACATGTAAACTGCAGTCCAGAATTTTCACAGTAGTTCAGGAATGTGTTTGGTTGTGGGTTTTTTTTGTTGTGGTTTGGTTTTTTTTTTTTTCCTTTTGAGTATACAGAGAGGATGAAGAAAAATAAATAATATGTCCCTCTTGGTGTTTGGTTTCTTCTTATGCTCAATAGGATGGTTATCCTGATTTCCAGGACACAGTCCAGACACTGTATCAGCAAGACAAAATGAAGACTCAACAGCTCTTAATTCCCAGGTAAACCAACTACACTACACTGAATAATACAGGCCATGTCTTTGTACATTGATTTTGATGTATTGTTTTGATGACTAAAGTAATTACCGTCAATTTTCAAAGGCTACCCAGCTTAGCTGTGATTGCATCACTCTTAATTTGGGTTCACCTTCTGTTCTGACACAGCGCTACAGCTTTACCCTTGTTAATTCCAAGGAGGTAAGATCTAGTGTAGTAGGCTTGAAAATACGTGATTGCCTGTTGGGAGCAAGTAGGGTACTATTGGTACAGTACGTGCTATGTTACTTGCGTTATTAGCTATAAATGGAAAGTTCAAGTTACTGAGTCTAGAGGAATAGAGTAGGCGATCTTGGAGTCCTCAGTTCTGACATTTCTTGTAAGGAGAAAGGCCAGTATATTTAGGAAATAGTGAACCTCTGGATCTGAGAGGATAAATTGCCTTTCTAAATAACATCTAGCCTGGTGGAAGTGCAGTGTTTTCAAGTATCCAGAAAGCTTTTTATAAATGAAGACAGGTTTCCGATTCTTTCTTTGTCTTTTCTGTAGTGTATCCCAGCCTTGAGGCAAAATACGCATCTCCTACTGCCAGTTGTTGCCAAGGAGGGATTTCATGCTAAGTTGCAACAAATTTATTTTGTATAGCTGATTTGGGCAAATGTAATCACCGAATTATCACGTAAGATTACATTTAGGAGTTACACTCCTGTTTTCTGAGACTAGATGTGTTACCCTTTTACCTTCTATTGCAAAGTAGTGTACAGTCATACAAATCCGTTCGTTGTGATACATCAAAAAGCAATTATGCTACATGTTCTGATGTTGCATAATGATTAAATGAACTTGACTTTTGCAAGCTTATTTTCATCTTATACATGCTTTAAAGTTTTCATTGATCACTGCTACATAACAATGGACTAGAGAGATTTATTTTAAGCTTAAATGTATCTGCAACTCCACAGGTTTTTCTGTGGTGATCAGAAGCATCATTGCAGTTTAAAATTCTGATTTTATCCCAATTAAACAACAAAGATGGCATGAGTGAGAAATGTTTTATTCTTTTTAAAAATTATTTTACAGTTCAAAAGTTGTAACATGAGTGACAGAATAGCAAAGTTAAAGCATACTTAGAAACTATTTTCAACTAGCTTACTTTTATTTTTACCTACCTCCCAAGACCAAGCTTGAGCTATCAGCGTTCTTCTGTAGAACCTGATGAGCTATAAGCAAGAATAAGTAAATATCGGCCATGTCATTACCCTGCTGTCAGGGTCATCACTGTGCTGGAGAAGCTCAGATTTTGCTGGTCTGCTATGCTGTCATTGTATTTGTAAATTGTTGAACCATGCTGAGTAAGCAGACTTTCGTGGGAAGTCAGGGCTTTCATCATCTCCCAAGAAAAGTTAAGTGCTCTGCAATTATTAGGCCTCTGTACTAGTTGAAACAATTACGGCATTACCTGAGAGAGAAATGATTTTTTTCCTATCAATCGTAGATGTTAAGTTTGTACGCTTTCTGTTCTTATGTTCATTGTGGCTCTTCTAAATCAACTTTCTTGACTTGTGATTTTCTTCTTATTTTTTGCAAGATGCTTATTTACATTCTCGAGAACAAGATTATATTGAAAGTTAGAATTCTCTTGGCATTAAAGTCAATGACAAACATTCAGACGCCATTTCCTCCCACATTGCACTGCATTGTTTAGTTTCACTCTCTAGAGGTGTATAGGTCTTGTTCTTCTTCTAGACAGACATTTCACACCTTTATCCCCCACAAACATACTGTCATCCTACACTTTCAGAATGGCAGATTTTTAAGCTTGTGTAGTGCTGTTTCCTAAAATAAAGATTCCAAGATGTCTGGTGAAATCTTGGCATAAGTTTTTAGCAGATGTTGCCATTGCTCTTGGAATACTTTGTGAAGACATATATTTGAACAGAGCTAACTGGATAATTAAGACATTATTTTTTGCTTTTCTTGAGAGTCTCTTCACGTAACCTGCAGTCCTAAAGTGCAGAAAGTGATTTTTGCGTGTTTTCGAAGAACAGAATTTAATGTTGCATTTCTGCATGGATGAACTACAGCAGCTTGCATTTTAAGTATTCTTGAGTGACTCAGATGTACAGTATGAAAATCTATGGGTGCAAAAATATTTTGTTTGCTTGATAGTTTTCAAGAAACTGTAAAGCACACATCTGTACATATGAGTCAACAAAAACCTTTATCTAGGCTGTTAGTCTTATCATCTGATATTGTTTTTTTCCGTGTGTTTTGACTCGCTATATGTATGTATATAGAGAGAAATTTTTTTTTTGCTTTATTTGCAGTCGGAAAAGGTGATGGCAAAACAGATGGAGTTTCTTTGCAACCAGGCTGCATTAGAGAGACGTCTTTCCACAGGGTGTTACAGACAAAACTCAGAAGAGCACAGCCCCAATGGCATGTCATTAGATAATGCTGATGGACAAGGTATGGTAGCTTCCAGGCACGGTGTTGCTGCCAGCAAATACATTTGATATTATGCAACCTTTGTCAGTGGTGTTATTTATCTAGTGTGGAACACTGAGCACTGAATGGACAAGACAAGATCTGTGCCCTGAAGTGCTTACAGTCGAAATAATGCAATCAGACGTACAGTCAGATTCTGCTCTGTTACTCTAATGTATCTGGGCAAACTGCTTTCCCTATGGATAATGTGGGGAAGGAAGAAGGTAGGGTGCACTACTATTATTGAGGGCAGAACTTGGCTCTAGCTGTGTCCTAAGTTTTGAAAATAGAGCAGAATGTTGCATTTCATTTGTGTTCTTGCTTTGTGGAAATTGAAAGTAAAGCAGATAATTTAGTTGGTACCCCTTTTTGTTTACCTGGTTGTGCAGTCTAGGAACAAAACCCGAGGAGCTGGCTATGTAAATTACTTAGAACTAAGCAGATTCTAATGATGTTCTTAGTAGCTTGTTATTCTTCAAAAAGCTTACAGTTTTGTGGTTATCTCTTTGATTTACCAACTGGCTATTCCTTAGCTTGAATTAATTTTAGGCGTGTTTGTTTTGTTCGAGTGCTTTCTGTTTGGATTTCTCTTTTTACTGTTGTGAAATGAGACAAAATGTTATAAACACAAGAAATACAAACAGAATTTCTTGTATCTGTTTTTTAAGAGCTAGTTTGTTCAGGGGAGGGGGGGAGAGAAGCAGTAGAGGGAGAAACTAAGGGAATCTGTACAAGTAAGTGTTAAAACATAGGTTTTGTGTGCATTGGTCAAGCAATGCAGTACCCAAGTGTACAGGGAGAATTAGGTGTGTGGATCCAGCTCTTCTTGATAGTGCAAGCTTCTTTATACCATTTACCTGTTGTGCAGTGGGAGTGGGAATTTTTAGGATCTCAAGGGGTTTTTTGAGCAGAATAAGAGATGGGGGGGGGGTATGGCTGAGTGTCTCTTTGTAGCAGTGCCTGTGGAATAGTCTGCAAAGCAGCATATCTTCGTAAGCCTTGTTTTGCTAGCAGTCTTCCGTGAGCAGCTGGAATTTAGGATGCACTTTTGCTGATAGAGTTAGTATGTCTTTAAGTCTCTACCTGTTTTTTAATATTGCTTTGCTTTTAATGCATCAATGTTTTGCTGTCAACAACTTCCAGGTGAAAGACCGCTGAATCTCCGAATGTCAAATCTGCCAAGTAGACAGTTGCAGCACATTTCACTCGATGGAGAGCAGCATGTTGGAAAACCTCTGTGCAGTGACTTGATCCGGCTTTACCCCAGTGGTGAGGCAAAGTCCCAGTCCTCAGGTTAGTGCTGTCCTGTGTAAATTACCCACCATTTCTTACAACGCCTGTGATGAACTTACTAATACATGATGTCTCCGAGTAGCTGAGCCTGGCATGCTTTGTGTGTAACCTTTTAATTAAGGCTTTGGACAAAACTTCAAGAGGAGTGTTACTTGCTAATCTAGAATCAGATTGAATATTATTTGGGAAAAGCTTAGAGGATGCAGTAACTAGGTTCAGCTAAGCAAGCTCTGGCATGTGCCTGTCCTCAGGGAGCAGTATTGACCCAAACTACTGCTGTTAAATACTTATGTTGCTGTCATTGTAATGCAGTTTTATTATAACACGGCTTCACTTTGTATGAAGGAATCAGACTTTTTTTATAAAAAGACTTTCTATTCTGGTTTATAAGGACCTAGCACTGTTTCTGTACTGTGATTTAAACCAAATCATACAGTAAGTCTTTTGAACTGGGTTTCCCATTCACTGACTTCTACTCACTGGCAATCTTGTCATTTACCTCTGGCATTGGGAGAAGCTCCTTCTAAATTTGATGGAAGACAGCAGGAA